CCCCCCTCCATCTCTCCACTACAGGCTAACACTCTCCGTCGTTCATCTCCTGCCACCTTCTGGATCACTATCGGTGCTGCAACTGTCTTGCCCACCACTCTCCCCCGCTGTCCCGCACGCGTGTGGTGAAGCGCACACTGGTCAGCCGTTCGACTCTCTCGCCTGGCTTACTACCACCACGACGTCATCACTGTAGACAAGACTGATCAGTCACTGCACGAGAAAACATATCGTGGTCTTGATCCCGCCTCCTCGCCGCTGGTCCCGCCTCCTGTCCTGTGTGCTCGCTGTCGCCTGCTCCTCAACGGCTTCTCCTCGAACTGGTCTAGTCTGTCCCCGTTACCAGCTCGCCGATCGCCGCACTGGCCCGCCTCTGGTCCATCTCCTGATCATCGCTGGTGATGCTCGCACATAGGGCTCCAGACCCGCCGTCAGCGCCAAGCTCGCCGCTGAGGGTCTTCCCCACGGGCGGAGGCCGAGCACCGACGGTTCATGGCGCCATCCGTGGATGCATTCCGGTATTTCCGGTCTGGTGTGGCATTGCCTTCTCCGCCATTGCTCCTTTTGTTCTCTTATCGGCTTCGATTCGCGACGTGCCTCCCTTAGGCTCGCCGATGCTTGCTGTTTTGTGGCTGGTCTGGGTCCTCGTTGTCTTGTGGTCGCTGTACAAGGCGTACCGCATTCCCAAAGGCTACCGTCTCGGCAACTCGGGCCTCCTCATCTACAACTGGCTCCGCATCTTTGGCGGCTCGGCGTCGTACATTCGCATCTACTACGATGACATTGAAGACGTCATCCAGGGCGGTGGCGGTGTGTGCTGCCCTAGCGGGTGCGCGCTGAGCGATCGTGCCCACTACGCCGACGTCACCGCGCCCATGGTCATCCTCGTTGGCGTGCCGATGCGCTCGTGGTATGGCGCCGTCAAACTCCGCAACGTCTACCTCGCTCCGGTCCACCCGGTCGCCTTTGGCGACGAGCTCCGCACACGCATCGACACCTGGAACGCACTGCGCGGCACGCTGCCACACTCGCCGCGCGGCGGCTCGAGACACTCGCGTGCCGCCGTCGCCCCGGCTCGCCCGACCCATCCGCTCGTCAACGGCGTCTTTGTCACTCCACCCACTCCAAACATCATCGGCGCCCGCTCGCCCGCCCGCCCCGGCCCGGCAGGCCCACCGTTAACCCGCACGCGCCCGGCTACTACTCGGGTGCCTCTGACGCTGCCTCTGCAGGCATCCCTCCGCCCGAAGAAGTCGTCGTTCATCCCACTCCGCCGCTACACAACATTCCCGAGCAGCACAACTCGTCGTCTGCGTCGTCATCGGCCGAGAAGAGCTCGCCGCCCGGCTACACCGAGTTTGCCGAGCAACCGGCCGAGCCGCCCGCAACCACCGCCCCGCCTGCCGCCCCTGCCACCGGCGCCACCACCACCTCCACGCCAGTCCGCAATCCGCCGACGGCCGAGCCTACGCCTTTGCCGCGCGAGGTGCTCCCCGACCCCCTGACGGGCGAGGATGCACGCGCTCTTGAGGATCTTCTCGCCGACACATCATCAACCCAGTTCAACTCGTCACTGCAGCCGACATGAGCTGCTGGGCGTCGTCGTCCGTGGGCACACCCCTCCTGGGATGGGTGCAAGGCCTTCCCGCTTAGCTCAGCCGTGTCCAAACCGGCAACGCCATCATTGAATGCTATCACGATAAGGTGAACCAAGCCATGGCCACTGTCCACCCTCACCCCCCTTTTCGCGAGACCGACCGACACTCGACCCACAGCCGCAGCCCAATGTACCTCCGCTTCTACCTCGACGACGCCGGCAAGCGCGTGTACACCCTCAAGGTACGAACCCTACATTGTCCCCCTAGTTCTCTCACATGCTTGTACCAGCTATGAACTCTCTCCCCCCTCGGTAGCATGTCCATGGATGCCCGGAAGTTCCAGGTCCGGCTGTGGGCAAGGGATGAAAGATGTCCCGACTGGCACTCGCTCGCCCCCTCTCCCCCCCCCCCCCCCCCCTCCCCCGTCCCCACCTCGGTGGAGGTAGGTGGGACGGACATTGTTACAGGAGAGGCAATGACTCACAGAACATGGACGATGTTGCAGAAGAAGGATCCGTCTGGCAAGAACACTCTCTCGGCCCACCCGGCTCGGTTCTCGCCCGACGACCAGTACTCCCGCCACCGCATCACCCTCAAGAAGCGCTTCGGCCTCCTTCCTACTCAGGGCAAGGCTCTTGTTCATTGATCACTCTCTTTCATGCTCGCCATTGGTCCATCGGTGACGAAAGCTCATGCGATGGTGCTGGCCAGCTGATGCACGCTCGCTCGCTTGCTCTGGCGTTGTGGCCTTTACAAGGCATCTGAGCTCTAGTAGGCCTCGCTGCGCCTTTCATGCCCGCACGTGTGTGGCGAGCTGTCCTCCCCTTGCTCATCCACTTGCCCATCTTGGCCGTGCGAACATTCACGACGCGAGCAGGCAGACGCCTCACGCGATAAACTCCACCACAACCTCATGCTGTTTGCCTTCAACACGCTCGACAGAGCTCACAGGCCCAGCCGCGACCGGGCCTCGTCCTTGGACGACGAAAACTGCAGATGGTCGAGGACCTGGTAAAAGTGGGTCGGGTCCACCAGCCGCGGGTGGATCTTGACAGCCGCCTCGATCTTGTCCGAGTCGAACGACATGGCGTCGACAACACGCCCAGCCTGGGCGCACGAGAACCACGCGTGCGTAAGCATCATGTCGAGCTTGGCGAGCTTGCCGTCTGAGAACGACTCGGACGCAATCGACGACAGCAGCGACTCAAAGTCGCCCGACGACATCGCCGCCGGCCCGCTAGCCGCAGGCGCCCCGCCGTATGCGGGGAGCCCGCCGGCTGCCGGCGGTCCACCATACGCCGGAAGCCCGCCAGACGGCGGCGCTCCGCCCGCGGGCGGTCCACCATACGCCGGAAGCCCGCCAGACGGCGGCGCCCCGCCCGCAGGCGGTCCGCCATACGCCGGGAGCCCGCCAGACGGCGGCGGGCCATAGCCGAGTGCCGATGACGACGGCGGTCCGCCAGCGCCGGGATATGGTGGCAGGCCGCCGGTGCCAGGTGCCGACGCAGGTGCCGGCGCAGGCGCAACCTCGGGCTCGAAACCCGGGTGGTCCCACGACGTCAGCTTGGTCTGTGGATTGGCGTAGTAGACCCGGCCAGTGGCGTCCCGGCGCTCCTCCCACGGTCGCAGCAGCTGGCGGCCGCCGCTCGGGGCCGCCACGGGCGCCGCCACTGCAGGCGCCTGAGCCACAGCAGGACGGATGATCTTCTCGCGGTAGTTGTTCTTGACCGTGACTCGGTAAAAGTCGTGCGTCGGCGGATGAGAGGTCCGGTGCAGGCACTCGTGGCAGAGGTCAAAGTCGGGGCAGTCGGCGCATTTGAAGCGCATGGCCGACGGCTTGAGCGCGTGCCCGCACTCGTCGCAGTTGGCCGAGTGGATGCCCTTCCACTTGCTCGACACGCCCTTGAGCTTCTCGGTCCGCCACTGGTGACCCGGGTTGTGGTGGTCAAAGTTAGCCTCCTTGCACGAATGGCACAGGTCGTACCCGCCCGGGCACTGACGGCACCGGTAGCGGTAGCCGAGAATCGGCGAGACTCCGCACCCGTTGCAGCTGAACCCGGTGTGCGCACCCTTGAGCCAGTCTACCGACGAGTTGAGCGGCGCACAGCACGACTCGCGCGGCGGCTCCACAAACGGCGGCATCGGCCGCGCACCGCCCTGCATCCCGCCTGCTGGGACCGGCGAAGCCGCCGGCATGCCTGTCGGCCGCTCCCACTGCGTCGACTTGGTGATCGAGTTGGCGTAATACACCTTGCCATCAGCCGTCCGCCGCTCCTCCCACCCGGCCGGAAGCGCACCCGGCCCGGCCGGTGTCGCCACCGCCACAGGCACCGCCGCAGGCGACGGCGACGGCGACGGCATCGGCACGTGGCTGCCGCCCGCCGGCGCGCCCACAGGCCGCTCCCACTGCGTCGACTTGGTGATCGAGTTGGCGTAATACACCTTGCCATCAGCCGTCCGCCGCTCCTCCCATCCGGCCGGAAGCGCACCCGGCCCGGCCGGCGTCGCCACCGCCACAGGCGCGGCCGCGGGCACGGCCGCAGGGGGGGCGTACGGGTTAGCCGGAGCCGCCGCTGCAGGCGCCGCTGCAGGCGGTCCTGTCGGGCGCGTCCACTGTGTGGACTTGGTGATCGAGTTGGCGTAGTACACCTTGCCATCCGCCGTCCGACGCTCCTCCCACCCAGCAGGGAGTCCGCCCGGCGCAGGCGCAGGCGCAGGCGCAGGTGCAGGTGCAGCCCCACCGTATGGGTTGCCCCCAGCAGGCGCCCCACCGTATGGGTTGCCTCCGGCAGGCGCCCCACCGTATGGGTTGCCTCCGGCAGGCGCCCCACCGTACGGGTTGCCTCCGGCAGGCGCCCCACCGTACGGGTTGGCCGCAGGCGCCGGAGGCGCGTACGGGTTCGCCGCGCCCGCCGGAGGCGCGTACGGGTTCGCCGCGCCCGTCGCCGGAGCCGTGGGCCGCTCCCATGATGTCGTCTTGCTCACCGTGTTGGCGTAGTAAATCTTGCCGTCAGGAGTCGACCTCTGCTCCCACCCAGCCGGGAGGGCTGTCGTCCGCCGCCTCGAGGTGAGTTGCGCCAGGCTTCTCCATATCACCGTCCCCCGTGACAAGGCCTCCCTGCCCGGACTACATGCACCCCATGCACCGCTGTCGTGGCCAAATTCATGGCCCACGGCCTCTGTCCTGCCCTCCTCTGGTCTCCTTCTGCTCATCATCGTGCGTGTGCAACGCCGACGCGCTGATCGATCACCACTCGCCAGGAAAAGGCCGTCAACCCGGGAAAAGGTCGCACTCTCAGCCGCATAGGGCCAACACAGGCATCACCGACCTGCCTACGCCTAGCTACAACATCCCACGCGACTCCATTTGGCCTCTACCCATGCTGAGCACGGTGGTGGCGCTTGCCTCTGCCCTTCCGCGTGACGGAACGCTGGCCAAAAAGCCTCGTTCGCTACGCACATGCGACCAAAGGTGGTCCGAGTCTTCTCTTCCAAGCGCAATGGGGGTGGGAGGGGAAGAGCCCCCCCCCCCCCCCCGGGGGGGGACATGCAAAGTACCCCACTCATGTCACACGTACGCGTCTGGTAGCCAGCACCGGGATAGGACATGCGGTCAGTGCAACCTTTGCAGTCGGGTGTTGGACAGGGGCCACGCGAGCGCTGGCCACCCGCTCGCCGAGCCAATTCACAATCGGCATTCGTTTGACTCGTCGCCGACTGCGATTATCGCCGAGTCGCAGCAAGGGAAATCATCTCCTTGAGAGCGAAGAACTTCTTGATAAAGTCCATCCCGGGTGCTACGAGGTGGAAGATATGGGCATGTCGTACGGAGTGTATGCGCAATAGCTCCAATACCAAGTGTCCACGAGCGATCTTTCGCATCTGCTTTCTCGACTTTAACAAAGGTACAAGATCAACGAAAAAAGCCACACACCCGACCGCACACACAACCTGATCGCTCCCCCTCCCCAATCCACCCATCCACCACCCATCCACACACACTCCGATGGAGATGATCCCCCTCCGCCCCATCCATACACCCCATTCACGTCCTTGCCTCACTCTCTCTCTCCCCCCCTTACTTCCATCAATTCAACTTTCCCCAAAGCCCGCTCGCTCGACCTCGACCACAGCCAACGGTCCTCTCCCCCTCCCCCCCCCCCCCCCCCACACACACACACACCGCACCTACACGCACTCATGACGTCTGTGGTGCTCAACGAGACATGGCGAGAGGCCATGACTCTGCTTCTGCACCAGCTGCAAGTGGAGCTACCAGACGGAGGCAGCGAGAGTGGGCCAGCCCAGGCGAGCAAGGCACCGTCGGCACGGAGTCGGGCAGCGGCGGCAAAGCTGGGCGCTGGGAAAAAGGGACCACCTGGCGAGGTCTTTGACTATCACGCCCTGGCCTTTGTCAACTACACCAAGATTGCTTCTCTCTTGGAGGATGTCTACGATGGCATGGTCCATCCGCAAAAGCGCCGTCAAGTCAAGGTCGTGCTCGACGCGGTGCTCGGCAGGCTGCTCGAGGTCTGGCTGTGGCTGGTCGAGTTTGAGGCGCGAGACCCGCCGAGCCTTGATTCGGTTCTCCATGATCACAAGCTCACATGGGCCTCTCTCGATCTTCCCATCCCGCGCTACTTTCGCGACGACTTTACCGCGCTTCTTCGCCAGCGCGAGGAGCTGCTTGACGCTCTGCTGATCCAAAAGGAGGCTGCCGACGCCGAGCGCGAGGCCGCCGAGGCTGCTGCCGCGGCTCGGTCCGCAAACGACGCCGATTCCGACGCTGATTCTCGCCCTGCGCTCACTGGGGCGGCGGCTGTGCTGGCCGAGTCGGACGCGGCGGCGGCGGCCGAGGTCAAGGCGGCGGCGGCGGCGGCGCTCATCCGCCGGATCGAGCGCGCGCGAGCATGGCGCGTCCACGCCACCCGCATGGCTGAAGCGCATGCGGCCGAGGCGCTGCGGTCAGACCTCCACGGTCTCGGCGCCGGCGACGACAACGCGCTGGTCGGCGGCGACGGTTTCGTCGACGTCGAGGCGGCGTCCAACCTTATCACCCGAGTCGCCCGCGGCCACCTAGTCCGGCGTGAAGTCCGCATTCTCCGCAATGAGGAGTTGCAGCTCCTTGGCATGCAGCGGGAGGATCGCCGTGAGATGGACGCGCGCCAGGCCGCTGCCGACTCCGCTGCCCGCGCCCGCAAGAAAGCAGTCCAGGCCGACCACGAAGCCGAGTACCTTGCCGCCCTCGTCAACGTCAAGCAGCGCATCTACGAGGAGGAGGGCCCGCTGCTCAAAGAGCAGATGGAGGGCCAGATCCGCCGCTGGTTCCTCTCTCACCTTCGCCAAACCGGCAAGTGGCCCGACTATCCGTCCGAGGCTGCCGGCGGCTCAGCAAAGATCTTCCTCGAGCCACCGGCCAACGTGCCCGGACCGGCCGCCGCCGCCGCCGACGCCGACGGCCCGGCCGCCGGCCGTGGCAAGCGCACGACCTTTGGCGCCAACCGCCGTGGCGGTGACGACGACGACGACCACATCCCGGTCCCGCCCTCGGCCTATCTCACAGACATCCAGGCACGGGTCCTGACCTATGTCGGCGAGTGGCAGAACAAGGACGAGTCCGACAACTTTGAGCAGCGCCACGATGACGACATCATCCGCGCACGCGCCCGCCCCGACATCGCCCTCGAGCTGCGGGTCCAGGTTGACGAGGTCATGCGAGTCGAGCTCGAGGGCATCAAGATCAAGTTTACCGGTAAGAAGAAGAAGAAGAAGAAGAAGGGCGGCGCCAAGAAGGGCGCGCCTCGCCAGGCTGGCGCGGGCCCCGCGCCCAAGACGCCCAAGCCCGACGCCGGCGGGCCCGGGCCCACAAAGGGTAAGCGCTCCAAGCGCTCCAAGGACCCCACCGCAGAGTTCTCCACCGAGGAGCTCTACGGCGAGCTCGTCCTCGCAGGCATTGTGGCCAAGCCGGTGCCAGGCGAGCTGACCGACTTTGTCGGCGAGCCGAACCATCTTGCTGCAAGCCTCCGCGACGCAGGCATCGAGCCTGACCCGTCGTACGCCGACGTCCGTCGCGCCGTCACCATGTACGCCATTGTCCCGCTCGGCGCCGCCGCCCTAGCCGCCCGCGGCGCAGGCAACAAGGGCATCCTCATCGCAGGCCCGCGCGGCTGTGGCAAGTCGATGCTTGCCCAGCGCATCGCCTGGCTCACAGGCGCAAACGTGTTTGACCTTTCGCCGAGCAACGTCAAGGGCAAGTACCCGGGCAAGGAGGTCAACATGCTCCTCCACAAGGTGTTCAAGGTCGCCAAGGCTATGCCGCCGTCAATTGTCCTCATCGAAGACATCGACCTCATCTTTACCGCGCCTAAGAAGCTGCCGGCCGAGCACCGCGGCCCCACCGGGCCGCGCCGCCTTCGCAAGCAGCTGCTCAAGCAGGTCAAGAGCCTCAAGCCGCAAGGCCGCGTCATGGTCGTCGCCACCTCGGCCCAGCCGTGGCTCGCAGACTTCAAGTCGCTGACAAAGGTCACTCCGCGCATCGTCCACATCCCTCGCCCCGACTACGCCACGCGCGCCCTCCTCTGGCGTACCTTTATCGAGGCCAAGGGCCTTTTCCTCCCCGACGCCTTTGACCTCTCCACCCTCGCCCGCCTCTCTGACGGCTACCTTGCCGGTGCCCTGTCCGCCGCCGTCGACGCCGTCCTCACCCCAATCCGTGCCCGCTCCATCGCCTCCATGCCTCTCTCCGTCGCAGAGTTTATCCATCCGCTCACCGCCCACGACCCGCTCTTTGCTGAAGACGACGCAAAGTGGCGCAAGTGGCTCGCAAAGCTTCCGCTTGCCAAGGCGCTGCGCCGCAAGAAAGAAGAGGCCGAGGCTGCAGAGGCCGACCGGAAGAAGAACGCCCGCTTCCGCCGATGAACGTCAGCCGTAAACGTACTCGTCGTACCCCGTCTCTTTCTCGTTCCGCCGCACGCGCACAACCCACATCGCGCCCAACCCACATCGCGCCCAACCCACATCGCGCCCAACGCCGTGCAGCATGGGCAACTGCGGCGCATGCGGGGTCTCACGACAGAGGTTCTTCCTCTCGCGCTCGAGATCGGTCGTCTTGTTTGAACGATTTGGCCACGAGCTCTACTTTATGCCGGTCTCGTCCAAGGCGCGCAACTACGCTTCCAATGCGTCGGCCACCGGCCTGCGTCGGACGAGTAAGACACAGTTTCTCATCGTCGCCGCAGTCGTTGTCGGACAATCGGCAGAGTACAAGAAGAACGCACGTACGCTCAAGGCACTATCGGAGAGCTATCACTCTGTCCACGGCGTGGCTGCACACGACTCTGTCATCAACTATCCCGAGATTGTGGTTTTACGACGAGAGGGCCGCCCGTCCTCTCTTTCTCATCGAGTTTACCGATGTGATGTAAAGTAAGCTCCACTCCTCCGCGCACGCTCAACTACCTCCATCACCCCTTTCTCGTCACCCCCGATCGAGTGCCCCACCCCCACCAACTGCGCGTTCGGTTGGAGAAAGCCAAAGAGAGCCAGAGCTATCTGCCTTGGCCGCCGACGACGATGCCGGCTTCACAGCCACCTTGGGCCGGTTGTACCGGGGAATTGGCGCCACCAGGCCACAGCCAGTGCCACAGCCACGGCCGCAGCCACCACCCCACCCCCCACCAACCCAAGCCAGACTCTGTACTTGGATAGAGCGGGGAATGGGGAGCCAACTCAAGACCACACTGGTTGTGGGACAACGTGTGGTGCTCGACGGAGAGACTGCTGCCACTATCCGCTTTGTGGGCCATACTCTCTTTGCCCCTGGTACATGGCTCGGCTTGGAGCTGGCTACCCGCAAGGGTCACAACAACGGAACTGTCGATAACGTCACATACTTTCGCTGCAAGGAGCGGCATGGCATCTTTGTTCGTCCATCTCGCTGCGCTCCCTCGGCCCGCGCCCTTCTTCGCTCTCTCTCGCCCTCGACTGAGCCGCAATCATTGTCGTCGTCACCGCCTGATCGTCGTCGCCGTCGTCGTAACCACCACCGGCAAGGGCAACATGGCAAGAGCGAGCCTAGTCTGGGCTCGCCACAGAATGCTGCCGCCGTGGCGGCGGTTGGCGGTTCTGCTGTTCGCTCGCCATCGCCGTTGGTGGTTGGTGCGCGAGTCGCAGTCATGGATCACCCGGGTCAAGTCCGTTTCATCGGCACCACCGGGTTTGGGCCAGCCGGTAAGGTGTGGATCGGGGTGGAGATGGCCGATCCCATCGGCAACTGCGATGGCTCCATTGATGGTGTTCGCTACTTTTCTGCTGCTCCCGATCGTGCTCTGTTTGTCGAGCCCGAGGGCCTCAAAGTTCTACCACCCTGCCTCCCACCGCCCGCCCAGTCTCTTGCACGCGACGGCGGCTGCGTCGTGCCCGCCTCGCGGTATGCGCTCCCGCCGCAGCCGACGCTTGCCGCACCCGCCCGACAGCCTTCACGCCGCCGCCGGATCCAGCAGGAAATTCCGCCAGAGGCCCGCCGCAAGCCCCGCCGCCGCCGTCCTGCAAATCCGCCTCCCGCCACAACCTCGGACGATGACACGCTGCCTCCAGAGCTGATGTCGATCTTGGAAGAGGCGTCTGCTATTGGTGCCTCACCCAAGCACACAGATCAGCTCATCGGTGCCGTCCTCCACTACCTCCGCGACGACGACGGCGACGAGGCTGGCGGAACCGTGAACGGTGGCAGCGGGCTCCCACCCCAGGTCCACCGCCGCAGGCGGAGAGCGCCACAGCCCGAGCCACATCCGTCTCCGGTGGCTGCGCCGGCGAAGCTTGACCTGCTCTCGCCGACCGAAGTTTCGGACCACGACGAGGTGCAAAGCAAGGTCCGGCACACGACGGCGCGACGGGAACAGTGCCAGCGCCAGCCCCGCCATCGCCGCCGGCGCCGCAAGGCTCCATCACCGGCACCGGCCCTGCCGTCACTGGCCGAGTTGGCATCTGCCCCTGCCCCGCTCTCGCCGGACTTTGGTCTCAGTCCGCATGCGAGTCGGAGCTACTCGCACGAGCCCGGCACGCCGGGCTCACCAGCCCGTGTGCAGCCGGGCTCGAGCTTTGACGTCGAGTCTGATGCGAGCCTCCTCGAGCCGGTGCGGCGAATGGAGACAATGCTAACGTCTATCCAGCAGCTCCTAGCTAAGACCGACGACGAGGTGGCAGCCGAGGCTGCGGCCGAGGCCACGGTAGGCGAGCCATCGGGCCCGCGGCCGTGGCCGCGCGCGCCCAAGGTCATCTACCCCGCGCGTCAGCCCAAGCACCCGCGGGCGCTGGAGGAGGTTCGGCGTATGGAGGCGATGAACGACAAGATCCTGGAGGCCGAGCTCATCGCCAAGACTGCCCAAGAGCGACAGATTGCTTCCGTCATGGAGCCGTTTGCAGTCACTTACGCCATCGACGCGGTCATCGAGGTCGGCAAGCTCTGGACATTCCACGAGATCCAGCTCGGGCTTGAGCCGACGTCGCTCACGCTGGCGGTGGTGGCCGAGCCGATGTGGGCGCTGGCAAGCCTCACGGTCTCCAACACCAACCACGAGCCGACGATGGCGTCGGCCGAGTGGCGGCTGAGCCCGGTTGTCAGCGGCTCGTCGCTGGCCTTCACCGACTGTTCGGGCACGTTCTTTGTGGGCGTGGCGCGCCATCGTCCGCTGCCGGGCGAGGACGTCGCGCTTCCAGTAACCATCCACATCGACGTCGGCGGCTACGTTGCGCCGGCTGACGACCTCACCCTGCAGTGGCGAGTTGCCCGCGCCGACGACATTAATCTCGCCCGCGTCGACGCCTACCACTATCTGGAGTCCTCAATCGCAGACTATCACGTCGACGCTATCGAGCCCCACCTCGGGCGGACCGCACTGCACTTTGCGGCCGAGGCCGGCGCGCTGGAGCTTGCGCAGTGGCTACTGTCACGACAGGCCGACGCCAATGCGCGCGACCGCTACGGCAACACCCCGCTGTTTGCCGCTGCCCGCGGGGCGCAGCATAATCCTGCTGGCGCACTGCAGATGGTCGAGCTTCTCCTCGACTCGGGCGGCGTCGTCTATGCCCGCAACCTGCGCGGGCAAAGCCCACTCCACATCGCGGCGGCCACAGAGCGATCCGGCGCCATCGCCGCGCTTCTCCTTGCTCGCCGGGCCGACCCGGGCGCGCGCGATGCAGACGGTCAGACGCCGGTCGACGTTGGCCGCGACGCCGGTCACGGCCGAGTTGTCCGGCTCTTTGACGAATCCGACAGCTCGCCTCCGCCCGAGCCCGATAGCCCCGTCGGCTCGCGTCTGCTCAGCCCATCGCTGCGCTCGCAGCCGTCGACCTCGCTGGCCGCCGTCTCGATCTCGGACGTCTCGGCATCGTGCAACTCATCGGTCATTTCGGGCGACGGCGGCGAGTACGGCAGCGAGTATGGCGCTCCGTCGACGCCGCGCCGGATCAATCCCATGAGTCATGCGCCGTCGAGGGACCTCGCGTCGTACGTCATCACACCAAGCAAGGCCTCGAATCGCAACAGCGGGTACTCGTCGGACTCGTCCGACTCGTCTAACTCGAGCTCTAGTTCGAGCCCGAGCTCCAACTCCAGCTCGAGCGACAGCCCAAGTTCGCCGGCTATGACGCCCGTGCCGGCCGATCCGGCGGCGACGCCCGAGCCGGCGCTGGACTCGGGCTCGGCGTCGTCCGAGACGGAGGCATCGGCGCTCGGTCTCGAAGCCGGTGACGGCATCATGTGAGATGCGCACCAACTGTGCTGTGCACCGTGCTACGCCACTACAAACACACACGCCTTTGTTCTGCTAGACAGCTACAGGTCGACGGCGTCCATGCCGAGCGCGTTGAGATCAATCTTCTCGCCAGGCTTGAACGGCGGGAGGCCGCGGTACGGGCACGTGCCGCAGCGGAAGGCATCGCCGAGGTAGCACGAGCCGCACGAGGAGACCGGGTTCTCCGCCATCTCGGGAGTGACCTCCATCTGGCCCTCGGCGCGGCCGCAGGTGCAGTCCTTGCACGCCTTGCGCACGCCGCCGGCGCCGACCTCACAGTCGTCGTTGGGCGCAGTCACCGCAGCCGCCGCATCATCGTCGTCCAACAAATCGTCCTCGTCAATGAGCTCTGCAACGTCGTCGTCCACCAGGTCCGACGCGCCAAGCGACCAGGTAGCACCGGCAGCAGGGGCGGCGTTGTTGATGGGCTTGCGCAGATTGAGCGAGTTTGCCGTCCCGACTTCCCACGCCGGCTTTGCAGCGACAACAATCGAGTTGGCAACTGCCGGCTCAACAAGGCCTGCCATGATGCATGTCGTTGGCAGAGCTGCAGCAGCATCAGCATCACTGCCGATGAAGCGGAAGACAGCACCAGGAGCAAGGATGCGAACAACGTCAACGAGCTGGTCAAAGGAGGGAGCAGCATCAAGAGCCCAGATCAGCTGCTGAGCACATGCATTGGAGAGAATAGAGAGAGTGGCACTCGAGAGTGTGACAAGCGACTTGGAAGCGGATGACGGCGAGAGGGTGCTCACCATGTCATGATCGATCGGCTGAAGAAGGAGAGGGTGGTGGTGGTGGTGGTGAGGAATGCGACCTGGGGAAGGAGGAGGGAGGGGGGGGAGGGGGGGTGGGTGGGGGTGGGGGGTGGGTATGGGGGGATGGGAAATGGTACGTACACCAAGGAATACCGTGGTCATGGTGTATGGGGGTGAGGTGTGTGTGCTGTGTGGGTGGGTGGGTGGTGTGTGCGGATGTGTGGGTAGGTGGGGAGTGGGTGGGTGGGGGAGTGGGGATCGAGTCGTGTTGGCCGCGGGCGCCGATGGTGTCGCCGGGTCTTGGCGGCTGGGGCAATAATCATACGGCTGATGGTCTGATGTCGTCTTGAGTGGGTTCAATATGGTCGCGCGACGGGTGTGATTGTGCATGGGGTGAGGGGGGTGAGGGGGGGGAGGGGGGGGGATGATCGCGGTTTGATGATGGGTGGGTGGGCGGATGTTCGCGGCTTGGTGGCCGACAGTGGCCATGCAAACTGCGTCGGCGTGGACAGCATCACGCGCCGCCCGAGTTCGCCGCCTCGCGCGATCGAGTAAGAGCTGCTTCGACGGCTTCCATCCGACGGAGCTGGGCGTTGAGTGAGGTCGAGAACGAGCCGGCGACCTGGGTGTAGTCGCGCTGCGGAAAAGAGTCGGCGTCAGCATCCACATCAGCATCGGCATCGGCATCGGCGACGCCGCCATCGTTAGCCTCAGCAGCATCAGATTGGCCATCAACCACAGACTCGAGGCCGTCCATGGCGAGGCCAACCACCAGGCCACCGGCACCAGCGAGCAGTGCCAGCAGAGCAGCTGGACGCCAGCCTGCGCGGAAGATGACGAGCGATGCAGTGGCGGCCGAGGCCAGACTGGTATCCACAAAGTTGGGAGCAGGCGCATCACGAAGAGCAGCAAAACCTTCGCGAGAGACCCAAAACGTGGCGCCCATGGTAGCAAAGATGACGCCTGTCGAGACGGTAGAGAACGAGAGCCTCGCCATCGCTGCTTGGTTGCCCGCGCCCGGCGCCAGCTCCACCGCCTCGCGCATGCCACGCAGCGCTCCCAGGAACATCCCAGCTCCCGCAAGTGAGCCCACCATCATCTTGAGCTCCACAATCTGCTCCTCTGTTGCCATGGCGTCCAATGGTTGGTCGCTGCCGAGGTGAGGTGCCTCGTCTCGCCGCTCTCTGGCCGTGAGCGAGTGAGTGACGCGCTGAGACCAGTCGCTGGCGACCAAGTCCAGCTGACGCGGCGACGGAGGGGAGGGGGGAGAGGCATTGGCCCAAGTTTACAGTTAGTGGCCATTTTCGGGTATGGACTCTGCTAGAAGGCGAGTCGCTTGGCGATGTCCTGGTCGGGGACCGGACTTGGCGAGGGAGAGCGGGGGCCAGCTTGGATCGAGGCTGCAGACGAGACACTAGCCATCGGCGGCGCTGAGAGCGCAGAGAGGCGGAATGAAGATGCGGGGTGGCGCGTCGGCGAGCCGCGGGCAATCGGCGAGACTGAGAACAGCCCGGCAGTCGGGCATGCATGCGATCGCGACGAGTAGGTTGGCGAGAAGAACTGCGAGCAAAATCCTGGCTCGTCAAAGGTCTGCGTCTCGCGCAACGCCTGTGAGTCGGCCCGCGACATGTGCGGCTTCTTGGGCGCTGCTGATCCAACCACCGACGTCGATGCAATGTCAGTGAGCGAGAGCGCTGGCGGCGACGTCGACGGTGAGCGGCCGTGCTGCGAGTGAAGGCCAAACGCGCCTAGCGACGAGCGCCGCTGAAGTGAGACCGGTGTGTCCGGCACAGGCTGCGACGAGGCGATGAGTGACTGTGAGAGCGATTCCGAGTGCACCGACATGGACATGGACATGGCTGCCGGCGCATCATCCAGCAGCGTGTCGAGTGCCGATGGTGTGTTGTGCCGCGCCAGCGTCGGCGTCTCGGGCGCAGTCATGCCCTGCAGCGGGAGGTCCGGCCGTGGCAAGCGATGGCTGCTGCCGCTCCGCGGCGGTGAGTCCACGCAGTAGTGGTAGTTAGCCGATGTCGGCGCTGGAGCAGGAATGGCTGCTTCGAGGACCTCATTCAGCGCAGCCTCGAGAGCCTCAAGGACCGATTCGGCGTTGGCAAGCGTGCCGGACGGGCGGAGAAGCGCGATGTCCTCGACCGCGAATCCGCCGGCCGCCGCTGTCAGTGACTTGAGCGACGAGATTCGTCCGCTGCCACAGGGCGAGCCTTTAGCCGACGGGCCGACTGACGCCGCTCTCTGCGTGTTGAGCCGCGACGCGGTCAGCTCCTTGAACGCACTCCGCTCGCGTCGTGCCAACGGAATGGGCACGCCGTCCTTGATGAGACACTGCAGCCGAAAGTCAGCGCCAACAAAGAAGCCCTGCATGACCTCATCGAGCAGATCCCATGCCGAGCCATTGATGCCAGCATCAGCAAGCGCAGCCTCGGCTTGGCACATGCAGTTGTACACAAACTGGGCATCCCCGCCAAGGACCGACTCGAGCCAGTCACCAGCGAGATCAACTGTAGCCCCACACGTAGCCCCACACATGGCACAGTGAGTCACCCATGCTCCTCCCCCATTCTCTTGATCCCGCCTCTCTCCATCCCCACACTTGTCATCATCTCCATGGCCGTGGCAAGAGGCCAAACTTTGACGTACTCTGAAACGGCGAGTGCGGGTCAGCACTGGTACCCTGAACAATGAGAGCTATAGCGTAAGACAGGGCCGGTACCGAGTATGCCCCACCACAGTTGAGGCAAGCCAAGCCATGCTGCGTCTCTGTAGTGCTCAGCAAGGAGCAGCAAGGAGCAGTAGCGAGTGTATGTCGTTGGATGGTGGGTGTGAGTCGTGGTTGAGCGCTGCGTAAAAATGTTGAAATTTGTCTCCGCGCTCTCTCACGCCGGAGCCCAACGGACGAGGTGAGGGGCGGGGGGGGGGGGGGGGGAAGGGAGAGGAGGGGGACAGGCATGGTACATACGCTGGGCAATGTCTTCGATACAGCTCGAGTAGACAGAGCAGTAGGGACAGTATGCCTGGAGCAAGGACGAGGTGTCGATGGCATCAACCATGGCATCCACAACCACTGGGAGCACCCCTGCCATGCTCAGCCCTTTGCTTGGAGTCGAGTGGCCACCAGTATCAGCATCAGCCACGGTGGCAGGGCAAGTGACGTCATTTGCTTCGAGCTGAGGCAGTGGCTGGCTATCATTCGCATCGATCATGGCCACACCAGTTGAGATAGACGTGCATCTCTTGCGAGGACCACCAACTCATGGTTTGATGCCATCCATCGAAGGAGGCTCGCGGCTGCCGAGTGAGAGGCATTCCTACCGGCTGGGATGGGCATGATCAGCGACTTGCATGAACCGCACGCAATACAGGTGTTCGACTAAGGTGTAAGCCACTCCATGTGGTCTGTGGCCGGTACCTTACCAATATCATGAACGTGATCGTGCTGGCTGGTGATGATGGTGAGCACGACAGGCCGTCGCTCATGGTACTCCTCCACTCGACTCTCTCAACCAGCGGCGCCATGGTCCGCAAGAGGAAGCTGGCTCGGAGCCGGGAGGCTCGCAAATCCCGACAGATTTCCCAGGAGAAGATGATGGCTGAGCTAGAGCGGAGGGTTGCCCAGTCGACTCCGCCTCGTGGTGTACGTGTGAGGGTGTGTGTGTGGGTGTGTGTGTGTGTGTGTGGGGGGGGGGGTGCTGAGATGGATGGGAACGAAACAGACCATCCTGAAGCCGGGTCGACCTGGGAGCGGAGGGGGACTGACATGGATGGCTTTGGGGCGGTGGTATGGGGATAGGCAACACCACTTTCCAAGCTAGCTGGGTCTAGCAATGACTCGTCGATGTTCCCACGGTTCTTCCGGTACATGCCGCTGTCGGAACCGACCAAGCTTGGCCTCAAGAGGGGTCGCTTCTCCAAGCTGACCGACATCCAGCGGGCGGCGGTGCCGCATGCGCTGGCCGGGCGCGATGTGCTGGGCGCGGCCAAGACGGGGTCTGGAAAGACGCTTGCCTTTCTCATTCCTGTGCTGGAGACGCTCTTCCGGGCGCGCTGGTCGCACATGGATGGCCTTGGGGCGCTGGTCATCTCGCCTACCCGCGAGCTGGCGGCGCAGATCTTCCAAGTCCTCCGGACCGTCGGCTCGGGCCATGTCTTCTCGGCCGGGCTGGTCATTGGCGGCAAGGACTTTGAGGCGGAGCAGGTGCGAATTCTGCGGATGAACTTGCTGGTGGCGACGCCCGGGAGGCTGCTGCAGCACATGGACGAGACGCCACACTTTGACGCCTCGCGGGTGCGGATTCTTGTCCTCGACGAGGCCGATCTGCTGCTGGAGATGGGCTTCAAGACGACGCTCAACGCTATCCTGGCCAACCTGCCGTCGGAGCGGCAGACGCTGCTGTTTTCAGCGACACAAACGTCGTCGGTCAAGCAGCTGGCGCGACTGTCGCTGAAGGACCCCGAGTTTGTGGCTGTTCACGAGACCGCCGACGTGACGACGCCCGACGCGCTCGTCCAGTCGTACATGGTGCTCGAGCTGCAGCACAAGCTAGACTTTCTGATGTCGTTCATCAAGAATCACCTGTCGGCCAAGACCCTGGTCTTCTTCTCATCGTGCAAGCAGGTGCAGTTTGTGTACGAGGCGTTCCGCCACATGCGGCCGGGCGTGCCGCTGCTCGAGCTGCATGGCAAACAGAACCAGGCCAAGCGGATGCATGTGTACAACGCGTTCAACCGCGGCAAGTCGGCGGTCCTGTTCGCCACCGACATTGCAGCGCGCGGACTCGACTTTAACGACGTCTCGTGGGTCATCTCGCTCGACGCGCCCGACTCGGTCAAGACGTACATCCACCGCGTGGGGCGGACGGCCCGGTTCCGGTCGGCTGGTCGTGCCCTGCTGGTCCTGCTCCCGTCCGAGGTCGACGCGCTGCTCGCCCAGCTGCAGAGCGCCAAGGTGCCGCTGACCCAGGTGAAGGCCAACCCGGAGAAGCTCAACCATGTGGTCGGCTTCCTGCAGTCGCTCTGCTCCCGCGACGTGGCCATCAAGGAGCGCGCCATCCGCGCCTACAAGTCGTACGTCCGCTCTGTCTTTGTGGCCCAGAACAAGAAGGTCTTTGATGTGGCGGCGCTCCCGCTCGACGAGTTTGCGGCCTCGCTCGGCCTCGTCTCGCGGCCCAAGCTCAAGTTCCTGCGCTCGTCGCGGACGGCGGCCGAGTCACTGGCGCGGGCCAAGGCCAAAAAGAACTCATCGCGGTCGCAGGCCCACAAGATGGAGCAGATGCTCGCGCTGCTGGGCACCGACTCGGGTGCCGAGACGTCCGACGACGAGTCAGAGTGCGCGGGCTCGGACGCGGGCGCTTCGGCAGGCGCGGACGATGCTACCGGCCGCAAGCGCAAGCGCAAGCGCAAGCGGCGTAAGAAGAAGAAGACTCTGATCCCGGCGGTGGTCTCGTCGTCGTCGTCGTCGTCGTCGTCGGCCGATCCCGAGTCGGATGATGGCCTGCTGGTTCTCAAGCGCAAGGACCACGAGCTTGATCCGGAGCTGGCCGCGGCCGGCCCGGTTGAGACCGGCGAGACGCTCTCGTTCGAGGAGCTGCAAGCCGAGGCGCGCGCGGCGCGCAAGGCAGCCAAGAAGAACAAGAAGGCCAAGAAGCGCATCCGGATCGATGACTTTGCGGAGGGCAAGATTATGTTCTCAGGCTCGGACTCGGGCTCGGACGAGGAGATTGTCCGTGGCGCCGAGCGCATTGCGCGGCTGCAGGAGCGTATGGCGCGCGAGGATGCCCAAGACAAGGAGAAGCAGCGCCAGCGGCTCCGCGCCCGCAAGCTCGAGCGCAAGATCAAGGACAAGATCCGCGCCGCCGGTCTCTCGGGCCAGATCACGGTCGCCGAGTACCTCGAGCAGAGCGAGGACGGCCGCGGCGGCGACATGCTGCAGCTGGTCAAGGACCGCAAGGCGTGGGCCAAGCGCAAGGCGATGAAGGCCGAGGCCGAGGCCGCCGCCGCCGCTGCCGCCGCCGGCGAGTACTCGTACGACGACGACGACGACAACAACCGCTTCGAGCCAATGGACCCCGAGGAGCTGCGCCGGCTCAACGCCGCCATCCTCGGCGATGGCAGCGGCTCGGCTGCCAGCGATGGCGATGTCTCCAACGATGACGGTGACGTTTCCTCTGCTGTCCCCAACGATGACGGCGACGTTTCCAGCGATGGCCACAACGAAGATGCCGAGCATGATGAAGCTAGCGAAAGCAGCTCCTCCGAAGCTGCGGCACCACCCCGCAAGCGGCGTCGGCGGCGCTGATTTCAAAAGCTCGGCCCGCTGGGCATGTGCATGTGTATGTATGTATGTATGTATGTATGTATGTATGTGTGTATGTGTGTGTGTGGTAAAAAAGAAACCGAAATGGAAGGTCTCTGCCGTGTTGTGAATGAGGCCAAGATAAAGGGGATGCAGCAGAGCCACAACCAGACACACTGACACACCGACACAGAGCCACACTTGGCTGAGCCTCCCCCCCCCCCCCCCTCTTACTCCCTCCCTACTCAACCTCTCTTCACCCTTTGCGCGTGCCTCACTGCCTCTGCCCCACTGTCTCATTGCCTCTGCTACGTCTGTGGCTTGCCCTGTTGCGTCTCCTGTGTCTGCGGTCATGTCAGCTGACAAGGTCATCCGTCGGCATTGTCGTCGTCTGCCCAGGGTAAGGCCTCGGTGAGGTGAGCGATAGAAGGAGGAGAAGAGGGGGGGGGGGGGGGGGGGATTGGACCTATGACTCATCTTGATCGCAACTGGCGCGGGACAGACTGTGGCGTACGATCCGAACGAGGTGGACGACATCGATCGGCCGACGGACAAGTTCGGCGGCGCGACATACGACAAGCTGGTGGCGTTCAAGACAAGCGGGACAGAGGCCGAACTCGCGTTTCCGGCCAATCTCAAGCCTGGCGAGCGGAGGCGTGTCCACGCCATCGCAGAGTCGCTCTGCCTTGGCCACGAGTCGCGCGGCAAGAAGCCGAACAGGCGGATCGTGGTCACACACGGCGCAGCGGGCGAGAGCGACGGCGGCGCAACCGTGTTTGAGAGCGTGTCACTGACTCGGGCCCGGTACGTGGCACTCGAGGGCCCGGCGGTCAATCGGGCGGCGGTGCGGGCGGCGACAGTAGCGCAGGAGACCGGGCTGCTGTCGGCGGCGGCGGCGGCGGCCCGTGCCAAGCGCGACGGCCCTGCCTACCACATCACGCTCCTCTCCAAGGCCGACACCGAAGCCGCTGTGGCTCTCGTCCGCGAAAAGGCCGACAGCGAGCTTGCGTGGCATGATGCTATGGCCGCTGTTCTGGACAAGCTGACAGGCCGCGCCGAGCCGGCCGACCTCGCGTCTGCGCCTGACCCGGAGCTCGAAGGCATCGACGTCGACTGCGTCCTCGCCGACGACTGGATGCCGCGTGGCATCGGCAAGGCGTGCGAGGCAGACAACACGACCTGGTTCCTTGTCCTCGATTGGCCATCAGCCAACGACGCGCTCGCCCGCCTCGGCTTTCCCGCGCACGACTTTCACATCACCCTCGGCTTTGCCGACAAGGACGTCCACGGTGTGACCAAAGACGCGTCAACCATCCAAGTCGAGCTCGACGCCGACGAGATTCTCGCCTAAACTCGACTCAAAGCGCGCTCCGCACAAACAGGGCGCGGTAGATGGGCATGTTTCGGGCGAGGCATCGGGTCTCGAGCTCGGTCGCCACACCAGTGGCGTTGACCGATCCGTCGGTCGAGGCGCCCGAGGCAAAGACTGAGCCCGGAAACAGATCCGGAAGCGCGGTACTCCGCTCAAAGCCCGGCGTCGAGCTCCACACCTCGTCCATGGCCTCGAACAGCTCGAGGACGTCGGTCTGGACAAAGATGCCGGTGCCCGGCGCGAGGCGCGAGGCAAGCGCGCGGGCGAGCCCCGGATTGACCACGCGCCGCTTGGTGTGCTTCTTCTTGAACCACGGATCCGGAAAGTGGAAGGTGATCAGCGCTGGCTCACGCGGCAGAGCGTCGATAAGCGCCGGTGCTCGCTCCGGCAGGACGTTGCCCCAGGCGGCGTACGCGTTGGCCAGCTCATCGGTGGCGGCAGCCGCAGCCTTGGCCACAGGCCTCCTGATCTCCAAACCAATGACGTTGACATCTACCCGCTTCTTGGCCAGAGCCACCATCCATCCGCCAGCCGCGCATCCCACGTCCACCACCAGCGGCAGACCCTGGGCATCGGCCAGGACCTCGTCCCAGGCAGCAGGGAGTGCTGGGGGATAGTCAAAGTGCGACGCAAGCGGATTGACATGCTGTCGCACTCGCGACGCAAGCATACGCACCCCGACTGCTGTCCACCCTGTACTCTGTCTTCCAAACATAAGCCTTGCTTCTCAAGTCGGGTCTGGCCGCTTCTCCACCCCTCATCCCTGCGGACACTTGAGCACCTCCTGGGATGCCATTGATGGGGACGAGGGAGAGGGGGGGGGACATTGGCCCCGACCGCCACTCGCCCATCCCCCATGGATTTTCTCCCAACATGCCTGCCTTGCGCCTTGTCGACTCTTGGTAATGGATGGGGGGTGGGGGGGGGGGTAGGGGGGTCGTCGTTCGGTCCGACTAACTAGCC